AAATCATAGTAAAAATTCATTTTTACTATATTTTACTATAATTTCTTATAAAATTTATCAAAATAAAGTCTTTTTTTGACTGATATTTATTAAATAAATATGCAATAAAATTTTTTTTTAAATTTATAAATATATTCTTTATATCTTAAAATATATTTTACAAAAATATTTTCAAAATTACTTATTAAAATATTTTCAAATAATTTTTTTTCAAAGTTATTTCATATAAATATCTAATCTATCACATTTGACATAATATTTCACAAAATTTTATTAAGCTAATATGTATTATACTATTAGAAAATCTTATTCACAATATTCTAAAGAATATATTTATAAATTTTCATGAGTTTTGAATATTTTATTGTTAAAATATAGGCAAAAAATATTTATACTATTACTTTTAACTGAAATCATATATATATAGCTAGAGAAAAACTTCATATTATTATTTATTATAAATAAAATTCTTTATAAAATACTCAATAAAAATATAAAATTAATTTTATATAAATATTAAAATGATATAAAAATAAATTAGTTATATTAAAAGCTTAATCTAAAAATTATTATATTAATATTAATTTAAAATTTTTATATTTAAATATTAAAAAAAATTAAATAACTAGATTAAAATTTTATATTAAAATAAAATTACTATTATAATATATATAATTTAATAAAAAATAAAATTTTTTCTTAATAATAAATACTTATAATAATATTTTAATATTAAAAATATCTTTATATTATCTTATAAATATTTTTATAACTTTATAAATTATTATAATCTTTCTATTCATTAAAAAATAAAAATTAAATAAAAATTATTTAGAGATCTTTTTTAAATATTAGATTATTTAATATAATTATTAAAATATATAATTTTAAAAATTAATATCCTTTATCACAAATTATAAATATAAATGAAACTCTAATTTTTTTTTGAAATAATTGATAATTTAATAATAAAAAAAATATATATATATATAATTTAACTTTATATTATAAGAAATAATAAAAATTACTTTTTATATATTTTAATAATTCTTATTAATAAAACTAAACTTAAATCTATAATAATTTTCAAAGACAAAAAATTATCAAAAGATCTTTTTTCTAATTAAAGATAATATTATAACTTGATCACAATTTTTTAATTAACTATTATAATTAATTATAATTCTTTGATTAGTTATTACAAGTTATAATTAATTAAGATAATATTTTTACTTCTAATATTATGATTAGAATGCAAGAAAATGATTAGATAGATGAAAATTTAATAATAACTTGATTTTAAAATATATGAAAAAATTATTTTAAATTAAATAAAAAATTATTATTAATAATAAATAGTTTTAAAGATCATAAAATAAGATTGATAAAAGAAAAATATTAACAAAATAATATTAATTTGATTATTATACCTAATAATCTTATATTACTTATTCAACTATTAGATATTTGTATTAACAAATTCTTTATATATAAAAACTAATAGAATTGAATAAAAAATAAGTAATATACATTTACTAAAAATAGAAATTTACAAAAATCTAATTATATTTTAGTTTGTAAATAGATTTTAAAAGTTTGAGATAATATATTTGTAGAAATAATTCATAATAGTTTTAAAAAATGTAAAATTATTAAAAATTAATATTAAAATTTATTGAATTTATTAATATGCATATAGAATATAAAAATCTATAAAAATTTAAATTCAAATTATTCTAAATAAATTCAAATTTTTATACATTTTTCAAATAAATCTAAATTTTTGATATTTTTCAAATAAATTCAAATTTTTGAGAAATTCTTATATATAATCACATGATCTATATTTTAATAGTTGAAAATATAAAAATTTTTTTACTTGAGATATTTAATAATAGGATATACTAAAACTATTTCAGTTTACTCTCAAATATGAGAGTTTTCAACTAATTTTTTTGAGATAAAAAATAAGTTGATATGTTACTTCTATAATCTAAGTATTTAATAGCAAAATAAGACTACTATTACAATTCACATTAACTCAAAGACATATCAAGAATTATGATATTTATATACTATAAAAATTATTAGTAATCTTTTCTATTATCAAGAATAAAAAGTAAATAATAATTAATTTAGTAAAAACTTGTATAGAAGCAGATATTCTAATCAAAAAAATTGATAAACTTTATAACTTTTTAAAAAATATTATAATAAAGAAGATACTATTCTCTTAGCTAAAGATAGCTTCTCAACTAGTTATGACTTGTGATAGCTAATTAAAGAATTATGATAGAATTGCGATAGTTAATCAGAAAATTGTGATAAGTTATAACTAGTTATAGTTCTTATTACTATTTTCAATAGATATTATTAGAAGATGATACTTAAAATATATATTTGAATAATATTATGCAGAATTTCAAGATAAGTTTTATAAAAAAACAATTTCTCTTATTATTGATAAAACTACAGATAAAAAAGTATGTAGTATTATAAATATATTTTTTAGTTATTAGTATTATATTAAGCTAATTTCAGTTAACTTTTTGTCTTAAATCAATAATATTATGATTAGTCAATTAGTTCTTTAACTATTAATTAAGTGAGAAATATCTTTTGATTAATTATAACTTATTATATCTGATTTAGCAGCTTATATAAAAAAATCTATTTATAAAATATTAAAGTCAGTAATACTATAATTAAAATATAATTTATATTCAGCTCATATCTTATATTTAATAAGATGAAAATAATATTATTAATATTATTTTTTAAGTTTTAATATTAAATATAAATTATTCTTTTATTTATTAGTAAGTATTAGTTATTTTAATAATATTTATAAATTAATTATAAATATTAAAAAATTAATGATATATTCAAAAGCATGTCATTCTCATTATATGACATATCTATATTGACATGGAATTACTAAAAAACTATTTGAAAAATAATCAAATATTCCAAAATTAACTTTATAATTTATATCTTTACCTAATGCTATCTGATGAAATTCTTGGTTAAAATAGTATTTTATGTATATGATTATTTTGATTATATTTGGAGATTTTATTATGAAGAACAAGAATTAGAATCTTCTGAAATTATTAATAATATTATATCAATTTTTTCAAATAATAATATCAATAGTTTGATAGAGTTATATTTAATTTTTATTCATTACTATATAATTCAATTTATATCAAATATTGAATTTTTTCAAAAAGAATATGATTCTGTTTTTTCTTTTATTAAAGGATGTATTCAATAACTTGAAAATTATCTTAATAATGGTTTTGATCAAGTTTAATTCAGATTTTTCTTTATTTTAATCTATTTTTCAAAGTGTATTTCAAGCTACATATACAAAATTTACAAATTATTTTTTTAATTATTCTTCAAGATCTCTTTTTAAAGTCACATGAATTTTTAATCCATATTTTTTAAAATTATCATTAGCTAATTATGATATTCAACAATATAGTTCTGATATTTTACAATTATCAAATCCATCTATAGTACTTTTTCAAGAATGATCTTTATATTGTAATTTAAATTTAATTGAAGTTAATTATACAAATCTTGGAGTTTTTGAGAAAAAATAGCACTTACTCTTCTACTTTTAAGTGCAATTACTTTAGATTATATTTGGCTTTCTATTTCTTCTTGTTCTGTAAAACGTAGTTTTTCAATTTACAATAATCTTTTACATGATAATCGGCAATGATGTATTTTAATGCGTCAAATTAAAAACTTAATATTTCATTTAATTTTTTAATGTTAGCCAGAATTATAAGTTAAATTTTAATGCTGGCCAAAATTAAATATAATTTTTATTCCAAATATTTACGATTTTCCAAACTAATATTTATGATTTCCCAAACGGATCCCTGATAGGGTATATAATCATGTGTTTTTTTAGGGAGGGTGAAAAATCAATACAGGGATGTTGCTTATATTCCGCCAAATACGGTATACAGATATAGTCCAATCAAGTGTCTCGAGTAAAAAAATTCGGTAGAAAGCTAGGGTTCTTAAGAGTCTGAGTTTGAAAAACTGTTCTCGATAACTGTCACAACTGTCACAAGTTTCTTAGGTTAATTTGTTGAGTCCCGTCTTTTTTTATTTTTTATCTATAGGTATACCATATGTATATATCGAAGGTAGGTTTCGAGTATATCGTATATATAGGTATCGGGTATATGCATATTGTATATGTATATGTAATGGATATATATTTGCATCGGGTATATAGGAAAGAGTTTTAATTTTTTCCCTAGAATTCTACTATTTTATTTAACTTGTGACAGATATATAAAACTAATCAAGAAAGAAATGAAAAGATTCAAAACTTTCAAACAGCCGTCAAAAGTTCTGTCACAAGTACCTGCAAACAACTAATGGCATCTAGTGCCAACTTGTGACAAAAATTTTGGTATACTTTAATGGGTCAAGGTAAGTGGGTATATCGTGCTACTGCCCATATGCTCGAAGCCAAAAAAAGTGAATCAGTTAAGTATACTTGAATATTGGCATACGTTATGCAAGCAAAAAAAATAACTTAGTATGGCAAGATATTTAATTAATTTTTTGCTTACTACGGCACTACATGTAATTCAAAAAAATCTCTTGCGAGATTAGAAGTTAATACACCAACCCCCGCCCACGCTATTGCGACAGTTGGTGTAATAAAAAACAATCCTAAAAGTATTGGAAGAAGAATACCAAGTAATAGAGGAAGAAAAGTAAATACATAATATAGTTTCTTATCAGATCTCTCTCGTATTACTTCTACTCCCGCCCAGAAAAGTTGAATTCCAAAGACGATAGAATTTAAAGATATAGTAAAATATTTAATCATATCATTATTTTTATTTTTTTGTGTCGCATCAAGTATATTGAAGAGTATAGCGACAAGTATGATAAGTAGAGCAATTATTAAATTTACGTAGTATCTCTATTTTAAAGGTGAAAAAAAAACGTCGAAAAAACTATTATAATTTTAGTAAAGTCTCGATGTCAAATATATGGTTTATAACATACCCCTCTTTTACGCTCTTCTTTCTTTCCTTCTTCCTTTCTTTGACCAAGTACCTTCAAAAAAGTAACTTTTTCTGCAACCTTCAAACTATTATATATCACTAATTCTTCTGGACTCAACTTTGGAACAGCGCCTTCTTCAACATTAACAACTAAAATGACAGTACTGATTGTTAGTAAACTTGATTAGACCGGATAACTAATATTTACTAAGACAAACCATTCTCTTGCACTGCGATAATAGTATCTTCTGTAGTTCCAGAAATAATAATACCGGTCGTTAGTAGGCTTGATCGGATTGAAAAACTAATACATACTCTACAACCTTGATTTTCGTCCACTAGGTTGTATTTGAGAGGGTTATATTTAAAAGCAGGTGATTGATTATCGTTATTTGTATGTGCTTTAGCCTCCAATGACGAGGCAAACGTGATCTGCACGTCATCTGAATGTTACAGTTAAACCGGCCATCGATAAACCGGAAATCGGCTAATTTTTGTGGAACCGATTCACTCCTATTTAATTTAATTCGATAAACCGGCGAGTATTATGTAAACTGTCTAAACTGTAAACTGGTGGAATGCTCTATACAGTGTATAACAAAAGTCTTTGGACAAAATCATTTGATCATTGCGCCACAATGGCTCATTTGAAAGCCAAAAAGCACGAGATTTATTTAAAAAAAATTAGTATGGGATACGTTCATCATTTTTTTTGATAATAAGCTCACAGATCTTATTAATTTATTGAGAACTGGTTGAGGAATTTCTTCTTATTCCTCCTTCATAAATTACTCTAATTGCTAAAAATTTTTTGGTTGTCATATCTCTATATTTCTCTTAATGATATTCTATAGGTTTTCAATAGGATTTAGATCAGGACTGTTAGAGGACCAATTTATCACTATAGGAAAGTTCTCTCAGAGAAATTTTTCTACTATTTTGCTAGTATGCTTTGGATCATTATCTTGTTGGAATCACTAATTCCTCTTGAATATTCTCTTAATCTCAGGAATATATTTTTGTAGGATATTACATAGAAAGAATAGAGAGAACCATCCTTATTTTCCTTAAAGCAATACAAACTTGTTTTGTCTTTTGAATAAAATTCATCTCATACATTAATTTTTGATTGGTCTTTTGAAATCTAACAAACTGATCATTTATTCTTATACCAAATAAAGATGACTTCTCAACTATTATAACGTGATGACAAATAAAATATCACTTAATTGCAACTAATTATAACTTATAAAATTTTAGAGTTGCAATATATTGTAACAAATGATAAATAAGCATTAAATACTTACTACATCATCTTTAATATCAAACTTATATAGTATTTCAGAATAGATGAAATGATATTTCATCAAAAAATAAGATATAATGTCATTTATCATTAAGATATTCTTGGACCTATTCTACATATTTTTATTTGTGTGCTTCTGTAAGTATTAGTGTTGTCATAGAGAGTTGTTTTTTGAAATTATACTGGTCTAAATATCTTAAAATTGTTATATATGATTAAAGATGGCTCCTCAACTAATTGCAACTTGCGGCAGCCAATCAGAGAATTGCGATAGAGTTGCGGCAGCCAATCAGAGAATTGTGACAGAGTTGCGGCTAGTTGCGGCTCTCATCTCTATATATGATATCTTTGTATCATTTTTAATCAATTTGATAGCTAACATTCTTGTTGATATGGCAAAATTCTTTCAAATAATTTATTCAACAGATCTTGAGCATCTGATAATAATTTTTCTCAGATGATCATTCTACTTTTTGTAAGCTGTACTTCCATTTTCTTTTAATTTTTTAATATTGTAATAGATAATTAATTTGAGAATTTTCATTAGGTAATATATTTCTACTACATTCTTGTCTTGTAACCAGAAATACTCAATTATTTAGGCATGTATATTTTTTTGACAGCTGGCATTTTTATTTCTTTTTTTTTAGAAGAAATAGAGTAAAATGATTCTCATAATACTAAATTTTAATTTTTTTTGTTTAACCTGATTTAAACTGAAATTAAATAAGTTACATAGATTTAAATTTGATCAATAATAGTTCAAAGACTTTTGTTATATACTGTATATTACTATATATAAATTTATTTCATTAAACTAATTTCTTTTATAAACTGATTTAACATTTTGATAATCCAGCCAGGATTAGTTATAAATTAATTTTCATTTTGATAAATTGGCCAAGTCTGAATTTGATATAGCATCTTTTTCATATGCTTATCAAATACTATATTCTTTTTTTGACTATTCTTTACATCTCTCTTGAAATATTATGTTTTATAAAAAATAATCTATATATTCTGATTACTATTCATGTGAGTTTTTTTATTAATATTCACTTATTCTGCTTATACTGGAGTTATTTTAAGTTTTAATAGAATTAGTTTCATATGATACAGATTCCTTTAGTATAATAGCATCTATTTTATATAATGAAAACTCTTTTATTATAATAATATATATTTTATATTATTATTATTTTTAATATCTCTTGAAAAGATTATTTTGTGATAGATTAATAGCTTTATATATAATATTTGGTTAAGATAAGATATAATAAAGATATTATAAATTACAGATAGAAGAGACTAATATAATCATAAATATAATGTAATAGATATTAGACTATAATTATAATAAGATTAAAGATAGGTAACAAGAGTATGTTCATGATGTAGTCAGCTAGAATGTGATCTGAAATCATAATATAAGAAATATATGATAATAAATAAGATATTATTAATAAAAATCATTAAATTTATAATATTATTATGTTTAAATTATTATTTTATCTTATTACAGTCAAAGTTCGGAAAACCGATACTCGAAAAACCGATAAATACCAAAACTGATAATTTTTCTAATTCCCAAAACACGTATAATAAAATTCGCTCAGAAAACCGATATTTCATATAACATCGCACAATTCCGATAACCGATATTATTTTGTCGCATTCATATAAAGAATTTAAGCTCGATATACCGATATAACCAATAGCAAAGCTTTATCTATTACATAATATCAGGTATTATAATATTATCGATTAGAGATTATACCAACTCAGTGACAAAAAAACTTAATTTAGAATGTCCTATTACAATTTCACGCAGATCGCATTAAAACACATGATCAAGATATTGTTTGAAAGCTCGAAAGCAGTAGATTTTATTATTACAAATTTAATAAGGAATTCTTTCACCTTTATTTTCAATAATTAATTGACAACGGCGTGGCATTGAATTTATTAAATTTTTTAATATATTATTTGGCAATGAATTCCATTCCTCCATTATAAATTGTTCCAATTTGTTTAAATTTTGCGGCATTCATTTTTCTACTTCACGTTTAACAATTGCCCATAGGTTTTCGATAGGATTTAGGTCTGGACTCGATGACGGCCAATCGATAACTTTGGGTACATTTTCTGCAAGAAACTTCTTAGCTTTACCGCTTATATGCTTAGGATCGTTATCTTGCTGGAAATGCCACTTTCTCCCAAGCATCTTTTTAATTTCCCCGATATGTTGCTGCAAAATTTCGATGTAAAAGTCAGTATTCATAATACCCTGAAAGCAGAATAAATGAGTTTTTCCCTTCACGCAGAAGCCACCTCACGCGAAAATTTTTGAATGGTTTTTTGGTATTGGACAGACTGGCCATTTATCCTTATACTAATGATTAATTGTATTTGGAAATAGTTGGAATGCCATTTCATCAGAAAATAAGGTTTTTTTCCAGTCATCGTTAAGGTGATGTTCGGCTCATTGTATACGTTTCTTTTTTTGAACTGCTGTTAACATCGGTGTAGCATTTGGTCGATTTTTTTTATATCTATTTAATTTTAAGTGTCTTCCAATTGTACGATATGAAATGTCTATCTCCTCCATACTTAGTTTAATAGCAATTTTTCATAGGGACATAGAAAAAATTTTACGAATATATTGACCCACCTTTCTTGATACAGTCACAGTAATTTTTTTAGGATGTCCATTACCACCTTTGTGCTGAATTGTTCCAGTTGACTCTAATTTTTTTACATTGTATCAGACAG